TCTTAATCACAACTTAGCTAATTTTACATCCGTTTTTCCATTCAGATTTCAAATGCAAAAATTTGGAGTTTACCAATTTACAATGAATGTGTGACTAACATGACACTAAACATGATCCTGCATTCTTCTAAACAGGATAAATGGTATGTATCTTTAAAAGTACATACGATTTTATAATTGGCTTGATGTTTTAATCTTTATGTCTGCTAATGGATCACATTTAATAAAAAGTGTATTGGCTCTTTAATGTGTCAGTGGGGATCCAAATTGTCAGTATAAAAACATGCCATGCTACCTGAGATAATTATAAGCCTATATCTGGTCTTATTGATAAGAAATATAAATAAATATTGACAATGTAATATACAACAAGCAACGTATGCTATTCTCATCAATATAATATTGTGACACCAAATACTGAAGAAAGTTCATTCATCAAGGTTACATACGACAAACACAAATAAATGTTGCTGTGTCAATATATACACAACCAACAACACTTACAGTTCAATACACAGTGCATATTTCTCTATAAGCTGACACTTTAAGGGAAGAAAATTCTTGATTTTCTTCTTTTTTTTTTATCTACTATTAAAATAGTTTCTATACATTGTGTCAGTGCTATACATTTGCACACAATTCACATACAATAGTGAAATTACTTAATCAATTAAAAGGACTTTTGGAACTCAAAATGTTCTATGCAGTAAATCATGGTACTTGTAACACTGTCATTAAAATTTTGCATGCTGCACTTGTATCAATGATGTATTCATAAGTAAACTCTTTAGTTTTCCCACTGGATTAGAACAAATTGTGTTGGGCATTCTGCTGTGATAAAAACTTTACAGAATAATTTTTTTGCTTTCTTATGTTCTGTAGTTTTATTATTTTTCTTTTGTGATTTGTCATTGGTCTATGAATGGAGATGGAAGAAATATGTGGTAGGATAAACCTATGCACAGGAGAAAGCCAAATATAGGAAATGTGTCAGATGAAACATCATCCCAGGAAAAATATATTGGTTATCAAATATTAATAAGTTTAAAAGAAAATGTATATAATTAAAATAAAAAAACTATATGTAATACAGCCTATGTGTGTATAATTTTGTAATGAATATATAAGTAAATACTTATTTTCAATGCATGTTCTGGCTATGCCTTGTTCTACAGGGTAGGCATCTTGAATTCTTTGATTGCAAATATTTGTAAATATTGGTCTCTGACCAAATAGGACTAAAGATTGCTACATCCATAGAACAGGCGTAAACCAGATGTTGTTCATATTAATTATGACATATTCATTTATATGGTTTCTTTACAAAACAAGACACCATGAGGCTATGTTACATATAAGGTCTCATTTTCAGTAATAATAGACAATGATGACAGTTTTTCTTTAAATGCAATTAGGAGGTCTGTTGGATTTAAATGGCATTATTTGATTAATGTCAGCAATGTCTAAAGGGATAGAGCTTGAATGAGACTTTAGATATTTCCCCACACTGGTTAGTACATAAGAAGGTTGTTTTATAGTTCATCTCTCTCTTGATTTTACATTATATCATATGTTGACCACGTTCTTCTGATTGTATTTACATGCATTTTTGTAAAACAAGTATTTTTAACTGCATTTAAAATTTTTTATGTTTTTTTCCCTTTGTTGCATGCATTTTTAATTTTATTATTTTATTTTTTACTTTTGAGATTAACTAGGGAGGAAGGTGGTGGACAATCTAAATAAATGATTTAATTTCAAATTTGGTATATAACTGCGAAATGATCATGGAATGTGGTCACCATGTACTCACTTATTTGGCTTACTTAAACGAAAAGTGGTCTGGGAAGTGGTCTGGATGCCAAGTCCATCTAGTGTTAACCCTGCAGCTGTAAACATAGCAGTTTTATAGAAACTGCTATGTTTACACTAGGGTTAATCCAGCCTCTAGTTGCTCTCTCACTGACAGCCACTAGAGGTGCTTCCGCGCTTCTCACTGTGAAAATCACAGTGAGAAGACGCTGGACATCCATAGCAAAGCATTGAGAAATGCTTTCCTATGGACTGTTTGAATGCGCGTGCGGCTCTTGCCGCGCATGCGCATTCGGTGCTGACGGCGGCAGAGGGAGGAGAGTTCTTCAGCACCGATGGAGCCGCACGCGCTGAAGAAAGGTCCTTTAAAAGTATACAGCTTAAAAATGAAGTACTGTTGATTTGGTAGTCTTACCTGATATTCATTCCTTTCAAATGTTATTTTTCAAAATAATAAATGATGCATGCAATTTCCCTAGAATAATCAAATATATTTTCCCAATTACAAGGAATTAGTATATATGCTGAGTTATAAATAATTTAAAAGCATAGTGTACCCTTCTCTTAGTCCAAGCAGCTCATGTTTTATTGTTAATTACCCTTTTTATGATCGGTTTAGTTTTTTTCTCCTTTTCATGTATTATAAAGATAACTGTGACTGATATTATTTGGGGGTATGATTAACTTTACTTTCAGGTGGGTCACTAAGTAGAAATCTATGTTGATAGATATACCCCCAATAAATACATGCATTCATTTTCATGCATATATTTCTTGGGGGTTACTCTTAAAAGCACTTGCATAAGCGGCAGTTTTTATATATGGCAGGCTTCACAAGCACTCCTCTTTTTTTCCCTCTCTTAATGGGGAAATAGTCTATCAGAGACTTCTCATTGAGAATCCTCTGAAGCTCTCCTTGTGTGTATGCGCGCCTGATTGTGTTTACGTGTCTGCTTTGTGCACGCGCACACACGCACTGTACAGCATCATGATCTGAGAAGCAGGTATGCAGAGGGAGGCAGGTGTAATCAAGTAGAATGTGTCTGCCACTTCTTTTATCTCAAGGAACCCTAGGGTTGTTTCATTAATTTATTATAATACTTTTACAAAGTGCCATTCAAATTGGATACTCCTCACCCATAAAGCACTTCAGCAAAGTTAAGTGCTTGATTGGTGTGGAGTGATGCTTTACATGCAACCCTGTACAAAACATATAAAAACACTAATTTATTAGATCATAAAAACTTACAAGAAACAGATATACAATCCTTGTATCCTGAGGCAGGATTTACATTAAATGATGCAAACAATTACTTTTTTTCTTCTTGGCTAGATTGGTAGTCAGTAAGCCCTCAACAACTGGTATCTTTATGGAGGACATTTATAGGAATTATGGCAATCTGTCTTAATTTTTTTCTATACATGGAGATTTTATGACATGCACTCTAATATGCAACGCTTCAGCCACTTCCATGAATTGTGAGATATTTTTAAATATATAATTCTTAATGGAAATAATCTATGTGTAATGATTTTATTTTTAAAATAATACTGAAGGAATATGAAAATCCCACGTGACAGGTTATTATTTAATGCTGTTGCATTAAAGAAAAACTGTGATCATTTTAAATTATTATTCAAAATAAAATATAGCTATTATAACCCTGTGTCCATTACTGTAATGCACAACCACAGTAAATACTTGTTTTTATCACACATCAAGGCTTGTCCTTGATCTGTCCGGTCAGTTGTCTTTGAGTTCTCTTTGGTCTGAAGCATCATTTATCTGCTAAGACTACGCACAATATGAAAGGCTATAAACAGCTCACATGTACATCTATATTTATGAATACATGTTTGCTCTTGGTTACCTTCATGGGCTTTGGTCTGGTAAGCAATGATTCTGACCAAATAGGATATAAAGATGCTCTCATTGAGAAAGGGAAAGCCCAGATAAACAATGTTATACATTATTTCATTATGGATGCATTACAAATTGTACACAAGCTATAATGCATACAGGCAACTATAGTCACCAGGACAACTACATCTTATTGAATTTGTTCTGGTGAGTATAATAATTCCCTTTTTGCAGTAAATACTGTCTTTTCAGAGAAAATTAAGTATTTACATTACAGCCTAGGGATACTTCCACAGGTCACTCCTCAGATGGCTACTAGAGGAGTTTCCTGGGCAGTGCATGGAGACACTCTGCATGGAGACACTGAACTTTCCTCATAGAAATGCATTAATTCAACGCATTTCTATGAGGAGATGCTGATTGGCCATGGCTGTGTTTGGCTTGTGTTGGCTCTGCCCCTGATCTGCCTCCTTGACCGTCCCAGCCAACCCAATGATTTCCAATGTGAAAGCATTGTGATTGACTCAGAACACAACTTCTGATGTCAGCCAAGAAGGCAGATCAGGGGCAGAGCCAGCAGCTGCAGACTTGAATATAAGTCAGATTTTACTATATTTAGGGGGGCAAGGAGGGGCCCAGGGGGGCCAGATAGTGTTTTTAACACTATAGAGTCAGGGATACATGTTTGTGTTCCTGAATCTATAATGTTCCTTTAAATAAAATATCAGAACCAATACTCCTAATGGAAATTAGATTTAGAATATTTTTAATGCCACCTGAGTAAAGTTCTATTAAAGCTACATGTGGCCAGGTCCAAAATGCAAAATATTTGCAGTACAATCTACATGGGAGTGCGCCTGAATAGCCTATCAAAAAGTTTGGATTTTCACATAGACTTCAGGAAGTAAAGACAGGGTGCACTATCTCTTTAAGGCCTCTATGCTTATCACAAAGTTGCTGAAAGACCATTAAGTAATCTTCAGCTTTCAAGTTTTGCAATGTCATGTCCCCAGTAATATAATCACAATGTAATAAAAACACACACATGTGAAGAGAACTTCACATGTTCATGCTGTATTCTTTCACATGGACAAAAGAAATAGTGGCAACATGCTGGTTCTGAGCACATAATTTACCTGGCTACATCAGTGCAAGTAAAATGATTAATTGAACGATGGTTTATACATTTTTTTTTTTAATATCCTAGCTATAGCTAATCATATAATGTACCGGTCCACAGATGACAGGTCTGATTGAACTGGTGAATCCTTAAACTCTAAGATGCATATCTGAAATACTTGCAGTGTGCTAGTTTATCTAAAAGGTACTTCTGACTCTATAGTGGACCTTCAGAGTCTTATTTGGATTCAGTTGGATTGGATGCCCCTCTGTATACTGATCTTGACCCTTGAATCCTCAGAAATATTATATCCTAATGAAAATGTGTGTACTTATCGCATACATTCAATTATTTAGAAATTTCAGGGACATATACACTATCATAAAACAATCAATGTCAAACTTCACCATTACAATGAACTTGGTACTGGTGTTATTTATAAGACACATGTGGGTTAAAGAAGATTTAAAAAAGCATTTATGATTTTTTTCAAAATCTATTAACATGCCATTGTTTGTTAAGCAGTGATGCTGAGATAAAAAAGAAATATTTTCATTAATTTATTATTATGGTTTTGGTATGACTCTGATGTTAGTTACTATGTGGGGAAGTCAAAAAAATAAAAATTGAAATAAATTACTGTTCATTTTAACTGTTTGATTGTCAGAGGGGCAAATAATAATACACATTGACCTGTTGATTCCAGGAAAAGACATCAGATGTCATTTGTTTGTCTATTTTTGTTTTGTTTTTACCATAAACTATAAGAAGCATTTAGATTGTCATGAAACGAAACACAAGCAAAATGCTAATCATATTAAAAGATCGTTACATATATAATAACAATCAATAAAGAGCAACAGTTATATTAAAATAAATCTGAAACTTTCCAATACTATAGGTTAAATACATCACCAAAGAAATCCTTTTTTTTTTTTCTCAACAGGCAGCATTATTAAAAATTGCTCATTGCAAAGTCTCTGTTTAGAGTGCCGTGAGGGCAATCTATGGAACGTTATGATACAGAGTCATATGCCGCGGTGGCCTCTCAAGCCCGCTTGGCATGGAGCATTTCAATTAGTAAGTTGTTGCAGGGGACTTCCCCACTAAGGTGCTTGTGGTAGAGATACTCTTCGGCTTGCATGCTGATGGATCTAATTTCTGCTAATCGAAGCATGAGCAGGCGATACTTGTCTGTACAGTGAGGGTAGTGGCACATTGTGTATTCGAGGAGTGCTGTGTTGACTTTCTCCTGAGCACTCTTTGCTAGGTTATGGTTTTCCAGGAACTTCTCATCTGTTGGCAAAACAAATGTGTATATTTGATTTATTATAGTTAACATACAGTTTTATTTTCTATTCCCATTATAAAATATTGAATACTTGATCATTATATTTAATTTTAATTATAAAACATGCAAATAAATTATCAACTCTTTGCAATTATATTTCTTAATATCAAAGCAAAACTGGACAGGAAACTGTAAGATTTCACAGAGGACATTTAAGCCCTTGGCTGGCTGTTCAAACCTTTTTGAAAATATATTTTTTTGTGGTAAAAGAGTTGAACAGCTAGAGATGGGGAAATGTTAGGAGAAAAGGTAGCTAATCCCTCCTTCCCTATATGAACAGTATTGATTTATTATATTGTAATATATATCTATTGATTTATTACATTATACTTTATGGCTGAGACCTGCCCTTGCATCTATAGAGAGAACTAGCTTAAAACAAGTACATGCATTAAAAACAGAGCAAGCTCAAATAGGTCAGGACAACTACTAATCAAGTACGGAAGAGTTTAAATAGGAGTGTGTAGTGTGTGCCAGAAGACGTGTATGCATTTTTCAGTGAGACTGTGTGTATATGTGTGCATGAGTGAAATCATTTGTTTGTATGGATCAGTGAGCATGTGTCAGTGTGTGTTTGAGTCAGTGTGGATGCATATCTGTCAGTATATGTGAGTAAATTTGTATGCATATGATTGTGTGTTTATGTCAAACAGCATCCATTTCTCAAATAGATCCTTTGCTATACATATACAGGGCTATTCACTAAAGTGAAAATTCAAAGTGACTTCCAGTTTGGATATTTTGACCTTAAATTTTCTATTCTCTTTGAGTTCTCACTTTACTGAGTAATTCTGTTTGTATTTTTTTCCCTTTAAAATTCAAGGTTTTTTAATCAACCGTTTTACTACATTTTTATAGTTATAATGTTGTAACGAAGGAAAGGGACCTCATTTAGGAAAAGAACGAATGAGTAATTTGTTACATGTGAGTTTACAGAGGAAGAGGTTCTATTTCAACTGTCAAAAGTAAAGACAAACAAGTAGATGGGGCCTGATGGAATACAAAGTTATTAAAGGAGCTTAGTGGTGTACTAGCAAAACCATTATTGGATTTATGTAATCAATCATTGTTAACAGGAGTAGTCCCAGAAGACTGGAAGTTAGTGAATGTTGTGCCCATTCACAAGAAAGGTATGGCAAATGATTTAGGTAAACTAAAAAAATGATCAGAGCTGTGGCATTTAATGTGAATAAGTGCAAGATAATACATCTTGGACGTAAAAACTCAAGGTCAGAGTAAAGAATACATGATAGAGTCCAAATCTCAACATCTGAGGAAAGGGATTTAGGGGTAATTATTTCAGATGACTTAAAGGTAGGCAGACAATGTAATAGAGCAGCAGGAAATGCTAGCAGAATGCTTGGTTGTATAGGGAGAGGTATTAGCAGTAGAAAGAGGGACGTGCTCGTGCCATTGTACAGAACACTGGTGAGACCTCACTTAGAGTATTGTACGCAGTACGCAAAACCATATCTCCAGAAGGATATTGATACTTTAGAGAGAGTTCAGAGAAGGGCTACTAAACTGGTTAATGGATTGCGGGATAAAACTTACCAGGAAAGGTTAAAGGATCTTAACATGTATAGCTTGGAGGATAGACGAGACAGGAGGGATATGATAGAAACATTTAAATACATAAAGGAAATCAACATAGTAAAGGAAGAGACTATATTTAAAAGATGAAAAACTACCACAACAATGTGATGTTTATATATTATTGTTATTATTATTGCCATTTATATAGCGCCAACAGATTCCATAGCGCTTTACAATATATGCATGTATATTAATAAATGTGTATAATATTAATACATATGTGTAAATTCAGTGTAAGCATGAATATATACATAGTATTATGCTTATAATATATAAACATATATTACCATAATACACATACACATGCATTTATATGTACATACACTTAATACACGCACAATATTATTCACTAAACTCCATATTGTAGCAAATTAAAATCTATATGTCTCAATTTTGGCTAAAATATCTGATTTGTAAAATGTTTGCAGCTAACTTTGTGACATATTAAGGTTTTGACTGCCCTGGTCCAATGACAGCTATTTATCCACTCTAAATATACATTATCATCCTCATATACAACTTACAATTCACCTACAGCAGAAACATTAATACTCGCCGTAATGGACTAATAGAATTTTGTCTGAAATTCGGATGAATTTTGGAATTCAGAAGCTTCCTGATTCTTATTTCAGCAGAACACAATACCTCAGAAAACTAAAATTTTCAGATCCATTTGCTTTTATAAGGATAGGAAATTATGGACTTATTAATTAAGCAACTGGAAAAGCAAAACTGGAAAAGTAAAACTAAGAAAATCACTTTTCACTTCCTGTACAACAGAACTAAATAATATTATTTTTTTTTTGCAGAAAACCTATAATAAAATCTTTGCTTTTCAGTTGTGCATTGCATGAAAAGTGCTGACAAACCAAAAGAGTGGTTTTCAAAGTCAAAGAATGCAGCATTTTTTTACAACAGAACATTTAAAAAACTATATTTCCAAAAAATAAAGAATAAAACCTTTATGCAAGCTGATGTGCAAGGTGTGAAGCTACTTCAATCCAGTGGTTTTCAACATCACCAAAGGAAGCACTATTTACATAACAGCAACATAAAAATTATTATTTTTCTTCTTAAATCTACTAAACAACGCCGTAATTTGGTATTCTTAACCCCTTAAGGACTTTCCGTCATGATTGTGTCCTTAAGGGGTTAAATAGGCAATCCCACATAAGGGTAACAAATTAGGGAGCAGTCTACTAAACAGTACCCCAATTAGGTTTCCTAAGTAGACAAATTTAGGACAAATTTCAGGTTTTTCAAATTGATAACTACTAAATTTCAATGAAACAAAATTTAGAATTACCGAAACAAAACCGAACCAAATCTTTTCCCCTGCCACAGGTCTAGTACTTGCATAGAAAAACACAGAAACATAAACAAATACACACATACATATGCAGTTACATATATTCTAAGACACATATTCATACAATCAATCACATACATACATAAACACACATTTAGATATATAGACACGGATACATGCAGAGGTGCTGTAGATACCAGTAAGGCAAGAAGAGATGGTTTTGAACAGATGGATGGAGTGTACTTCAAATCAAGAAAATAATGAGAAAGTAAGGGGGCAGTGGTTGAAAGGAGCAGTAAAGGGCAAAGCAAACAACCTAGGTTTCAATTAGAACTAGTACATTTAAAAAGAGCAAGATGAAGAAGACATTGAATGAAATGGAGGCAATGGTTAAAAAGCTGAATTAGCTAAGCTAAAGCAATTTTTTAATGCATGGCAAGTTATAAGAGACAGACACCAAGTCATTCGTCCATGCAGCATTTCGGTTTAGACAAACTTTGACTTGCACTACAGGACAGTGCAAGGACTCAGGACAGCTAACCGAAGCTTCTAAGCCCTTGTGCTCTGCCACTGTAAGTGGTTTAATTGTTTTAGAATGATTTGACTGGCTACCTAAAGTCCCATGGGTACCGCACCCCATCTCTAGTACATAAGTGGAGGCAGGCAGCGACACTGCAGAGCACTGTCTTGGTTATGATGCTTGATTTGTCCCTTTAATATAAAAGAAGACACTAAGCATGTCCTTTGTCTGTTATAGAATACTAACCTGGACAACTGTGTTAATTTAATAAATATATATCTCAGTATAATGGTATAACTTAATAATCAATGTAAATAACATCAGTACAGGAATAGACCTTATTCTGGTGAATTAAAAAAACAAACAAAAAAACAAACACGAAAAATACAAAAAATAGGTTTTTGAAAAGAAAAAAAAATAGCGCCTACAGACTCTCCTCCACAGGTGGTTTGCAGATACTTTAGAGAACAATTAATGTTACTTTAGATAAAATACTATATTGGTAAATCTAAAATATAATTATACTTATGTTTTGGTTGGCAGGCACCACTTTGAAAAATTCATGTATTGAGCAACCTTAGCCTAGTGGATAGAGTATAAAAAACCCGCAAATAAATTGTGAATAAGAGAAGCAAAATACTCTA